ATTAAATTGAAACAAAAGTGAACAGACATCTGATTCAGGAAATGCAGCCACATGCCTGCAGTGGCTCATGCCAGAAGCCGGGAGGTGCTAAACCACAGCTCTCTGGCTGTGTGTTCACTTCCTCTTCCTGATGCCCCAAGGTCTCTGGGATTTGCAGTCCACAATCAGAGTAGCAGGACTCTGCAGGGTTGCTCATCACTTCCTCTTCCTGCTTCCAGGTTCCTCTGAGATTTGTGGTCCACAGTTGCAGTCAGCAGTAAGTTTGAGCAGGGGAAGGGGTGTTTAACACCCCCTCACCCCCACCCCTGGACCCCAGCCAGGGCTTGTCTGGGAAGGGCAGTCCCCACCTGTAGACTGGGCTGCATCCCCAGCCATGCTTGCCTCCCTCCACCCCCTTGTCAGCCAGCCCTCACTGTTCCAACTACGGAGCAGAGGGGCGGGGCCAGCCCCACTGTCTGTAGCAGACAGCCCAGCCCAGGGCTGAAAAGCATGCTAGGAAGCTGGGGGACTGTGATTTAACTTGAACCAGGAAGCGGTTTGTGACAGAAATTTCATAAACTGGTTTGACCCAACTCAGTTAAGTCTGATACTACATTCAACCAAGTTTATCTTAAACCACTTTCAGCCATCTTGAAACTGGTTTATGTGCACTGATCTTCTATTCTGTTACAAGTTTAAACCAGTTTCAGATCACTTAAACTGGTTTATGTGTAACTTCTGTCCCTAGCCTTTAAGAGGTTGGAGAGAAAGGGGGCTGGGATTCACAGTCCAATCAGGTTTCTTATCAAACTACTGAACCAACAGCTTTTGACTTAGTTTCTAATTCCTCCTCATGAGATGTTTTTTTCCCAAAGGACACTCAGAGTAGGATATTAAAGAAGTCATACCTTACTGGCTCTATGAGAAGTTTGTAACTTATAGCTGACCCTTCCAGCTAAAGAAAACACTGAATTAAGTTGCTTACATCTGACCCTTGGAGTGGCTGCTGTGATGTCATTAGTGTTACAATTTTATGCAAGATTAGGCATGTAATTATGTGTTAAATAGTGAAGGTTGGCTTAGATTGCCCAGCTAATGAAGCAGATAGCATTAATGATATCACATATAGACTGCTCCAAGGCACTGGCATTATGAAAAAAATCTGAAATCAGCCTAATTCATATGCAAAGAAAGACCTCTCCCTCCTCCTCTTGCACCTCCTCTGTGTTGAACCCTCCTCTCTATTCTGGTGGCTGCCATCACTGTGCTTCCACTCTGTTGAGAAGCATCCAAAATTGCCCAACTCCCTGTGGTTATGCTGCTATTGGCCATCCAGTGCTGTATAATTAACACAGGCAGCACAAGATTTTTCTATTTGATCACTTAGGCCCCCAGTGTTAGAGGCCAGTAAGGCTAAAAACAGACAACCAGTCTGATGTGGCCCTGATTAGGACTGAATATGACCAGCACCAAAACAGACAGGGCCCAGTCATTTATGCACTAAACTTAAATAGAAATTAATTTGAATAAGCTGTGATTGTTCTGAAGCAAAGTGTTAATTCAGACTATTCAGAGGCTTATCAGTCTGTAAAGTCTAGGGTTTGGTGTAAGACAAGATGTCCAAATGCAAACCAAGCCAGTTACCTGTTTGTAGCCCAAGTGGCCAAACCCTGTCTGCTCAGCAAGTCCAAGGCAGAGCCAGCAACAAGAGTCAGAAAGCCTCGATCCCCAATTGTCTGTTTTCATCACTAGAAAGCACTCCTTTGTAGGTAGTCGTATTGATTAAATGCTGGCAGCCACTATTTCATCCTCCAAACCATAGCTATTTCAGTGAGAAATGCCTTACCTTATACTTAGTTCCCCTAAGATGAAAGTGATATGCTTAGAGGAAAAGATTTCTAGGCATTCAGATCCCAATCTGATGAGCCCCAGGAGTTAAGGAAAGGGAAGCCAAGCAAAGCACAGGCCCTTGCTTCCCCCAGGTTTGTTGTAAGGAGACCTCTCCTTTTTCCTTTGGCTGGTGTGCTAAGAATGCCTCATCCTGTGTAATCTGCTTCCGCTGATAAGTGCAGTACAAATGCCAAGGCAAATATTATTAACTGTTTGTATTACAGAACTGCTGAGTGGTCCCATCATGGGCCAGAATGTGAAAGGGCTTGCTGCTCTACAAACAGGGGACAAAAAGTGGACCATGCCCCAAATGCATGCAGTGAATAGATTTTATTCATTTCAGTGTGAACATGAGGTGCCAGATGCTAACAGCTGAGGACTGAGAACTTGCAAAAAGAGCAGTTCAGTGGCATGCATTGTGGCATTTGGTGGTATGCCCTCAAGGCCTGGACAGAAAGAGAAGGGCCCAGTTAATGTCAAGCATCCTTCCCATTTCCCTGCAATTTTGGTTAGAAAAATCCAGGCTGGTGATTCTGCTCCTTGCTGAGAGAGAGAACCAGCTGTGACATTGTGAATCCAGATGTGTATCCCCACCCTCTCAGCCACCAAGCTGTGTTCACAGCTGGAAATTGGCCCAGATGCACCTCCATTTTATTTTCTTCATAAACCCCTCGCACTCAGGTCTGAATATTCGCCCAGGTTCCCAATTATGCTAATATGTAAATCAGCCCGGTGTGTGATTTTTATTGATGGCCTCATTACAACTTTTTCCAGACAATCAGTGCTCTGGAAGGCATGTGCATCTTCTAGGGGCAGCATAAATGGCCATGATTTCTCAGTGGGGTGGGGAATGGCCTCCAAGCTACAAACAACTTCAGCAGTAAGACATTTAAAATCCAAATTATTTCATTTTTATTCCTGAGCTCTTTTCTGTGCAGGGCACTAAATGCACTTAGTTCTGTACAATGCACACAGTGAGATATGGCTCCTGCCCAGAAGGAGTTTACAATGTAAGGCCCCAGCCTGTGAGATGCTGAGCAGCAATAAGCTACACCAGGGGTGTCAACCAGGGGTACACGTACCCCTGGGGGTACTTGGGAAGGCCCCAGGGGGTACACAGCGATGGCATGGAGAAGCGGGGCTACTTGGGAAGCAGTGGCGCAGGGGGCGAGGCCACTGCTGCCATCCAGCACTTCACATCAACAACCACTCCCCTGAGCCCAAGTCCATCCAGTCAGGGAACCCCCACTCCGTGCTTGTCGACTGCCTACTGGGGGACCCCCCACTTCTCAACCAGCTGCTGGGGGTACACTGACCAAAAAAGGTTGAGAACCCTTGAGCTACACTGAAGTCCCCTCTTTGAAAGGATGAAGGTTCAGAACTGGTTGAGATGTAACTGGTTTAGAAATGGGGAGAGAGGCATGTCCAAAGCAGTTCCCTGTATCCGCCACCTCTTCCCCTTGAATTTCTCCCCGCTTCAGACTTCAAGATCGGAGTGAAATGGTTCAAGTCCTGCCACAAAAATAAGAGGGAACACAGGGCAGCAGTTGTGCTGCGGGAGTATTTAGGGAAGTCTCTGGGTAGGAGATGGTAAGAAGGAAATACAGAAAAAGGAGTGAGCACGTGCTCAGC